GAAATTATATTTTCATTGCTAGTGCAAATAATCGAATCAGAATCGAAATCGATGTCACTAGGATTGACAATCAACATCCGCCCCGCGAACCAATCGACAAAAACCGAGAATACATAAGTACGTACATATTTACTCAAGCCTGCAAAGGCGGGCATCTTAAGAACAGAAAAATCCGCGACACTTAAGAGCTACTATAGACAATGGTACAAAAATTCAATGCTGCCTACGACGTTAGTATACCTTAAATGACGTTTTTATTTAAATCATCATCATCATTAGTTATAATCATAACCAGCATCATCACCAGCATCTTAATCTTTCTCGTCTCCTCTTTGTTATCACTGTTATAATAAAGAGGCGACGAGGACGAGCGCGGAAATTACAACTTTCTTCTTCCACCTGGCGAGGGGAGGCCTTGGTTGTTGTAAAGAAAAAAAAAAGGGTGCAGGAAGCGGGCAAGCTTTAATTGTGGCCTCGAGGTGAGCCCTATCTTTAGCCCTTATTTTTTTTTATCTTTCGTCACGAGTGGCCTCGCGAGGCGCGGGAAGAAGAAAGGGAAGAAACAGTACAAGAAGGATTGTTCCCGGTCGTCCCTTTTTATCTTAAAGTGCGTCATTCGACCAACGCCTTACCAACGTCAGTCCAACGAACAACCCTTTTTTTACTCTTCGCGTGTGTATGCGTTTCTTTTTCTTCTACTTGCCCATTCATACTTTGTTTCTCTCTCTTTCTCTCTGTCTCCCGTTCTCTCTCACTTTCTCACTTTCATTTCCTCTCGTTCCTTTTTTGTCAGTTGCGCATGTACTCCCTCTCTGTCTCTTTTTTTTCTCTTTCTTTTTTTCTTTCTTTCTTTCTTTCAATTTCTCATTCGTTCTTCTCCATGCGTGTGATTTATCATGTACACACAGTCACCAATTGCCGCGAAAAGTTCACGTATACCGCATGTACGCCCACACTTGATTATATTGTGTCAGACAATATAATCCTTCATTTATATCCGTTAGTCCTTACCCTAGGTGTTAATTAGTGTTACATCTAGTCGTGTGTGGCCGGCCCGTGCTATCCAGGAACGCCACTGCACCCAGTCG